ATTATTTTATTTAACAATTGTACATGTCTTTTAATGAATTGCTAATATTTTCTTTGTTTCTTGTGCATCTATGCTACTGTTTGAGTCACCTCGGTGTCAACAGGCAAGAAATATCACTGCACACTGGTGATTTACCAAGGTAAACTGAATAAGCCACATTTATTCTACATAATTTAAATGTTACATTAAAAATAGCATCTATTTGATAACTATTGTGAAGGTTCTCCTGTCTGAACAGTCTGCATTAATATCTCTGTTTGTTGTTGTGCATCTATTCCACTGTTTGAGTCACCTCAGTGACAACCGGCAAGAAAGGTCACTGCACACCGATACATATGGTAAATTCAGTAACATTTATTACTGCATAATGTGAATGTTAATATAAATTATGCATCTGTGTAATTGACATTGTTCATGTCCTTCTGTATAATCTCTGATATGTATATTCTTTATTCATTGTGCATTTATGCTGCTGTTTAAGTCACCTCAGTGACAACTGGCAAACAGTTCAGGCACTGCACACCATTAAAATAACACGGTAAATTCAAGAACTCACACTATTACTAGATATTCTGAGTGTTTTATATGAATCTTTTTAATTGACAGTTGTTCATGCCTTTGAAGAATTGATGATATTTTCTCTGTTTCTTGTGCATCTATGCTACTGTTTGAGTGACATCGTTGTCAACTGGCAAGAAATAATACTGCACACATGTGATTTACAAAGGTAAATTAAATAAGCCACATTTATTCTATATAAATTATCTATCTAATCAATTAAATGACTATTCTGAAGGTTCTATTCTCTAAAGTCTCTAATAATATCTCTGTTGTTGTGCATTTATACCACTGTTTGAGTGTTCTCAGTGACAACGGGCAAGAAAGATTCTTCACTGCACACTGATTCCTTAATAAGGTAAATTCAGTAGCCCAAATTATCACTGCATAAAGTAAATGTTTCATATATATTCTGTTCCCGTTTATCTGCTTGTCCTGAATAATCTCTAATATGTTTCTTTTCTGTTTCTTCTTGTGCATCTATGCTGCTGTTTGAGTCACCTCAATGACAATGAGCAGGAAAGATCAGTCACTGCACAGTTATAAATTAATAAGGTAAATTCATTAATCCACATTATTAATAATAAATTATTTAAATGTTAAATCTAAGTTATAGATCTACTTCATTCACATTGTACATGTCCTTCTAAACAATCACTAATATTTATTTTCTGTGTCTTGTTTTTTTGTGTCTGTGCTGCGGTTTACATCCCCTTTGTGACAATGGGCAAGAATGAAAGGTCAGCCACTGCATGCTGATGATTTATCAAGGTAAAATTAATAACCCACATTCATTCTACATAATTTAAAAGTTATATAAAAAATTAATCTATTCAATAAACATTGTGAATAATCGACTGACTGAACACACTCTAATATTTTGTCTATTTGTTTTTGGGCTTCTGTGATGCTGTTTGAGACACCTCTGTGGCAACGTGCAGGAAAATAACAAGGTAAATTCAAAAGCTTACACTATTAGTATTGCTGCATAATCTGAGTGTTTTATATACATCGTTTTATTGAACAATTGTGCAAGCTTTTTAATAAATTGCTAATATTTTCTTTGTTTCTTGTGCATCTATGCTACTTTTTGAGTCACCTCGGTGTCAACAGGCAAGAAATATCACTGCACACTGGTGATTTACCAAGGTAAACTGAAAAAGCCACATTTATGCTACATAGTTGAAATGTTACATTAAAAATAGCATCTATTTAATAACTATTGTGAAGGTTCTCCTGTCTAAACAGTCTGCATTAATATCTTTGTTTGTTGTTGTGCATCTATTTCACAGTTTGAGTCACCTCAGTGACAACCGGCAAGAAACATCACTGCACATCGATATATATGGTAAATTCAGTAACATTTATTACTGCATAAAGTAAATGTTTCATATAAATTCTGTTTCTGTTTATCTGCTTGTCCTGAATAATCTCTAATATGTTTCTTTTCTGTTTCTTCTTGTGCATCTATGCTGCTGTTTGAGTCACCTCAATGACAATGAGCAGGAAAGATCAGTCACTGCACTGTTATAAATTAATAAGGTAAATTCATTAATCCACATTATTAATAATAAATGATTTGAATGTTAAATCTAAGTTAAAGATCTACTTTACTCACATTGAACGTGTCCTTCTAAACAATCGCTAATATTTATTTTCTGTTTCTTGTTTTTTCTGTTTTTGCTGCTGTTTAAATCACGTCTGTGACAATGATCAAGAATGAAAGGTCAGCCACTGCATGCTGATGATTTGTCAAGGTAAAATTAATAACCCACATTTATTTTACATAATCTAAAAGTTATATAAAAAATACATCTATTCAATAAACATTGTGAATAATCGACTGACTGAACACTGTCTAATATTTTGTCTATTTGTGTTTGGGCTTCTGTGATGCTGTTTGAGTCACCTCAGTGGCAACGTGCAGGAAAATAACAAGGTAAATTCAACAGCTTGCACTATTAGTATTGCTGCATAATCTGAGTGTTTTATATACATCGTTTTATTGAACAATTGTGCAAGCTTTTTAATAAATTGCTAATATTTTCTTTGTTTCTTGTGCATCTATGCTACTGTTTGAGTCACCTCGGTGTCAACAGGCAAGAAATATCACTGCACACTGGTGATTTACCAAGGTAAACTGAATAAGCCACATTTATGTTACATAATTGAAATGTTACATTAAAAATAGCATCTATTTAATAACTATTGTGAAGGTTCTGCTGTCTAAACAGTCTGCATTAATATCTCTGTTTGTTGTTGTGCATCTATTTCACTGTTTGAGTCACCTCAGTGACAACCGGCAAGAAAGGTCACTGCACACCGATACATATGGTAAATTCAGTAACATTTATTACTGCATAATGTGAATGTTAATATAAATTATGCATCTGTGTAATTGACATTGTTCATGTCCTTCTGTATAATCTCTGATATGTATCTTCTTCTCTATTCATTGTGCATTTATGCTGCTGTTTGAGTCACCTCAGTGACAACGGGCAAATATGTATAAGCAGGAAAGATCAGTCTAATAATCTCTAATATGTTTCTTTTTTTTAGTTTCTTCTTGTGCATCTATGCTGCTGTTTGAGTCACCTCAATGACAATGAGCAGGAAAGATCAGTCACTGCACTGTTATAAATTAATATGGTAAATTCATTAACTCACATTATTAATAATACATGCTTTGAATGTTAAATCTAAATTATGCATCTACTTCATTCACATGGTACATGTCCTTCTAAACAATCACTAATATTTATTTTCTGTTTCTTGTTTTTGTGTCTGTGCTGCGGTTTACATCCCCTCTGTGAAAATGGGCAAGAATGAAAGGTCAGCCACTGCATGCTGATGATTTATCAAGGTAAAATAAATAACCCACATTTATTCTACATAATCCAATCTGAAAGTTACACAAATCTTTCAATTCATTTAGTAAATATTGTTAAGGATCGTCAGACTAAAAAGTCTCTAACTTACTTTTTCTATTTGTTTTGGGGCTTCTATGATGCTGTTTGAGTGGCAATAGGCAAAAGAATACGGTAAATTTAGTAACCCAAATTAATCTGAACGTAACCATAAAAAACAGATCTGTTTATTTGAAATTGTTAATGTTCTTCTAAATAATATCTTTTATCTTCTCTGTTTTGTGTGCATCTGTGCTGCTGTTTGAGTCACCTCACTGGCATTGAGCAGGGTCTGTGGCGAATCACCCAGTACAGAATCAGCATTGCCATGGACACAGTGCATGCGTGATGATTACTACTGAGAGCGTGCCAATAAGAAACACCTTAAGCTCATCAGTGGGACTGGATAAAAGGAGCTAAAACAGAAAGTAGGGTGAGCAACATCTCTACTTCGTTCATTTAGGAGGAACTGTATCCGCTTGTTAAGTGGTGACGTATTTGTGACGTATGTAATACTGTTTCCGGGTCCAAGCCGCCATTCACTTGAGTGGGGAAGTCATTTGTTTATGATCACTTTTTATTCATATCGCACATTAAAGTTAATTTTATATAAAGTCATAGTGTACACAACAATCTCTGGGCTTGCTGCATAACAAATACCAAAATTTTAACAAATTATAAAACAATGAATCACTTTCTGGCCATTGGATATTAGGCATGGACATATATATTGCGATCGTGACTTTCGAAAGTATTAAATCGCTTTGTAAACGTTTATTATTACCATTTCATGAATCTCCCCATTCAGTTGAATAGAGCGCTTGGACCCGGAAGCCGCTCTGCGTGACGTCACACTTAACAAGCGGATTAAAAATGTATAAAGTTTTTAAGATCTGTACAGTTGTGGACAAAAATAGTATTACAACATTAGTAACTGTTGTTATTAGAAATAGTAGATGTAGTGGCTTAATAGAAAAACAACTGACCTAACTGTTGTCAGATGTGCAGCTTGTGATGAGTAATTGACTAATGAATTGAAAGCGGTATGTTCAAAACAATAGCAGTGTAGGAAAAAAATACATTAAAGCTGTCCTCCTGTTTTTGGAAGTGGGATCTTTTTACAACTCCTCTAGAGTTAAACAGATGAGTTTACTATTTCTAAATCCATTCAGCCGATCTCTGGTTCTAGTGGGAGCACATTTAGCTTAGCATAAATAATCAAAACGGATTAGACCATTAGCATCTTGCTCAAAAAAAAAGTCACTATTTATTCAACTGGACTCTACTTTAGATACATTGTGCACAAAGAATGACAGAAAATGAAAAGTTGCTATTTTCTAGGTCGATATGGTGCAATAATATTATATAGTGCTGTACCTATTTGCCTAGCTGGGGACTATTTTCAGGTGCTATGTAGTGTTATGGCTGTAGCATAAATACAGCAAAGTGAATTTAATACAAAAATGAGCAACAGATCTATTAAAATGGTCAATAACTGGTGAATCCTACAGAAAGAATTCACAAGTAGAACAACAATTGTAGTATATAAACCATTTAATGTAAAATATAAAAAAAAAACAATCATAACAACACAAGTGCTTTATTAATACTGTTAACTGTAACGCTTTATAGCCCTTATAGATGTCCACACAAAGACATCAGTCCAAGAGTTCATGCAAAGGCACTATCAAAGTGTCTGCTCTTGACTTTGCTCTCCTGCTTGTTTGATGGCTTCCCTGACCAGAGAGATAAGGGAGGTCAGTCCGATCAGGTACCCATCCTCTCGGTTTCCTTCCACCCAGGGGACATCATGGCTGAGCTGGACATCCTCTGGGACTGGTATGGTCTTTCCAAAATCGATCATCCATATGTTGGCTTTGTTGTTGCGGTCGTGGACGAAAAGTAAGGAGCTGCCTATGATCTGCGAGAAGTTGAGAAGATGTTTGGATGAAGACAACTGTTAAGTCATATGCCAAACAGGCATAAAACATCTTTGGCTGCAGATTTTATTTATTAAATAAAAATCGCCCATTCTTATAACCAATTGCACATTGCATGGCTTGTGGTTTCAAATCGAACAGCTCTGTATTGTAGAAAAACTGCGTAAAATTCAGATAACGGTGACAAGTTTAACGTTTTACACTAACCTCATGTTTGTTGAAAAAAGAAGACTGCTTTAAAGTTTCATACAGGGCCTGTAATCTGGATTCGTAGGCCTCCTAAAATAAAATAATAGAGAAATCATATAAGATAAGGCCGAGCATTTAAAACATACACATGAATTCACATTCACAACTCACTACTTTCACACTTTTCAGAGAAATAACAATCCCAGGAGGCACCGGACGTCAACATGACATCAGATTGACGTTGTACGCCAACATTGTGGAATGCTGAATTTTGTTTGGAAATGAAAATCGGGTTGACGTCCAAACCCAACGTCAGGCTAATGTCAATGTTTAACGTTAGACATACATTCGATTTCGGTTACTTTCCTATGTAACCTAAAACAACAACAAATCAACGTCAAATGATGTTACAGCTTGATGTTGCGTGGACGTTACGACTATGACATCCATCAGACTTTGGATTTTGGTTGCTATACCTGACGAATAAATGTCAATGGTTCAAGAGTTCACACTTAGCTGATTATAAAGATTGTTTGGCATGCTGTCTTAGGAGACAGCCCTGAGCTCATAAGATCCTCGAGCCCGGGGCTCCCTCTCGTTTGCAAGGCGAGAGGAGAGTCTGAGCTCAGGTACATCTCAAGAACTCCCCTGGTGTAGTAGCTAATGAACAGACAGTGATTGCTCTTAAGAGATAACTACTTACAAGAAGCATGCCTATAGTGCCGATTTAGATTAGTCAATAAACTTGCGTTGCATGTTTTTGGACGGTGGGAGGAAACCGGGGAACACGGAGGAAACCCACGTGAGCATGAGGAGAACGTGTAAACTCTGCTCAGAAACGTTGACTGGCTTGGTAAGGACCAGAACCAGTGACGTTCTTGCTGTGAGGCAACAGTGCTAACCACTGGGCCACCATACCACCTATCTAGGAAAGGAGAAGGGGTAGGGGTGGACGGATGGATTCTTCAAAACAAAGCTGGCTGTGATATGGAACTTGTGGTATTTATAATGGCTTAGGAATCGTCTGATTGGTGAATCATAAATTGGATAATGCGGGACCAGCCGCAAGAAATCATAAGCACGTGATTCCTTAGAAATTAGTTTATAAATAAGCTTCACTTGACATTAGTATGACGTTGCTTTAAGATGTTGGCGCGACGTTGGACTTTGGTCACTTTCCAACACTCTAATTCCATTTCCAACAAAAAAAATAACATCATTTCACGTCGTTGGACGTCAAAATAACATTCTTAGTGACCTAAATCTGACCTAATATTAACGTTTTATGATGTCGCCTGGGATGTGAGCAAACAAAACACAAAACTGTAGGGTTTATCTATTTGGAAGCAATTCAAGACCTTAAACACCATACAAAGTGAGGGAAACAATTTCCCAACCGCATGGTACCAATTTGAACCTGAAGCAGTGACACATTCATTATATAACATTTTATGATAATATATTAAATGACTGATGGTAATATCCAGAGATTTAAACTACTCAAATTTTCCATTTTTAACTGAAAGTTTGGTATAATTTATGTCATGCTTGTAATTCTGAAATGTGACAAGAACCATTTTGTGTTGCATTTACAGTAAGATAATTACTTCTCAACTTGAATTTCCTTCACTCTTGAATTTCTTAAAGTTGCAACTTTGTATCAACTCAATGGCCAGGTGTTTTATTTATTTGGTAAATGATTTTGTTGATGCCAGCTAGAAAGTAAATGGAACATTTTGTCTTTAAAATCCATCTTTTAGGGTGGTTTTACACCCGCCTTATTTAGTTCGATTGAATCGCACTAGAGTTCGTTTCCCCTTTTGGTATGGTTCGTTTGGGCAGGTGAGAATGCAGCAATCGTACTCGAGTGCGCATTAAAAGCAGACCAAATAAGCGTACTGAGACCTGCTTGAAGAGGTGGTCTCGGTACGCTTTCAAATGAACCCTGGAGCGGTTTGTTTGGTGAGAATATGATTTGCACTAAAACAGGTCCAACCGCAAAAAGTACTGCTCGTTTTGGACTAATTCAGCTGCCGTAGGCCGTTGCGCAGTGCACACAGCAGGTGCACCTTACCTACAGCGGTAATGCACCTAAAAGTTGTATGCCAACCGCCAATAAAACTCATGAGAAGAAGAAGAAGATGCGCTGTGCATTATGGGATATGGAGGAAACATATTTGTTGACAGCGCTTTACCAACAGAGAGAGAGGGGAAAACATCACCTGATGGATCATTGGTAATATTTCCGCAAGATGACCATGTTGCAGTTTAGCTAAATGAATTCACGGCTCCTCCTGAAGTGACGAACGATGCATTAAACACTGTTTTCCAGCCGCGGCCGTGCTTTATTTTCGTAATGTATAGTTTGTCTAAAGCAGGCATACAATGAGCCAGCGCAGTCGTCCCTCCAGAGTCAAAGGTTTTGTTTACCTGCGGGAGTTCACTGGCATTTTCCCGCACGTGAATTCTGACCAATTAATAAGCAGTTTATGAAATATGTTTAACAACATCTGGCCAATGAGAGATGTGGATTTTGTCAGATGACTGCATTTTGGTTCGTTTCAACTGGTTCGGACCAAAGCCAGCAGTGTGGTGTGAAAACGACCCAAAGACGGCAGAAGATGCAACAACGTATCATTTATTGCGCTTGGTCCGGACCAAATGAAGCAAACTACTGATGTGAAAGCACCCTTAGACAATGATACTGTTATTTTCATTTGTATTTATACTCAAGAACAATTTTTTGTTAAGTCTTGAAAATTTTGTCTGGATGCGAAACGTTTTTAGAGCATTTACACCATTTTTGTGTAAAGATAGCAAAACATATTAATCATATCTATCTTTATGTGAGTTTTGAGTTGGAAATGAGTAGAAAGCTGTAGTCATGAAATAATTTGCACTCACTAGAATATGAATCTGCCTCCTGGTGAAGGACAACAGGGTTTCTGTCACTTGAGCTTCTGTGCATGTCTTGTAGAAGTCTCGTAATACTTTACCATTCCCCACCTAGGACAAAAAGGTAAAATATAAACAGTCAAATTTTTATGTAAATGACCATGCAGCAACTTTCTTGTATAATCTTTCAGCTTCATGTTTCGTACCACTATCCCTTCTATGCGGAAGCCCAGTGATGAGGTGGAGCTGCTGTTATCCCTCCACTGAAGGTAACGCAGCTTTGTGATGCCTTTTTGTTCATGTTCTTCATCAGTGGGAGCTGCCGGATCTACTTTCACCATCTTCTGATACATGTCAGTGCGTACGCTAGGGTTGATCCTGGCCTTAATGATTTCAGCCTCTTGGTATGTCCTGCAAGTAATGGCACAGATTTAGATGGCACGGCAATATTCTTAAAATATACAGTAATGTGATTATTAGGTCAAAGAAGAGCAGAGTAGGGGAAAATGGTATCTGGAGGTGATCAGAGCTTGAGATTTACCACAATAAGTTTGTTCATTTTGTCAGAAACAATTTATTTTGTTGTATTTTTTTGCTGTTTAAAACAAATATTGTGGAGCACCAGTTATAAGAATATATGTATATACACTGATATTTAGTCTTGAGAGTGTCTCTAGGACAGGAGTTGGACATAACAAGGACACTAAAGGTCACAGCCTCGCTAATCGCTAATTGACCAAGGGAATTAAGTTTATTTGCACAGCTTTTATTAGATGCCCTCTATTAATCTTAACTTAACCTCACTCCCATCAGAATCAACCACAAGCAGGAATTAAAGCAGCATCGTCATTAGGTTGCACTAACAAGTTGTGGTGTCACTTGCCAATGCACATTGTTACCCTTTTTTCAACAAAGCAGTTTAAGCACTGGTTCGTAGCCATAGTCTAATTCCAAATCAGTTCAATAGAAGTGCCATCAAAAACACTAAAACAGTGGTGTCACCATGGCTGTGGATTAAGCGTGGAGAGCCATGGACCTCACAAGCTGCTTAGGCCGTAATCACACTATTTACATTTGCCTTGAACCAGGCCAAAGCACGCTTGTCCCCCCTCCCGTCTCTCCTGACGGCCCGCACTCACATTACAATCGGGCCTGGGCACACTTACGTTATCGATGCTGCGCTGTTCAGTAAGTGCTCTCGCTCAGCACAGTGGAGATTTCTCTGGTTATATCATTTGAGTCGTTTGATATGCAGTGACATGCAGTCAAATATTTCACCTAACAGATTCGCCACTTTTGGCGCTCATAAACAACCATGAAGTCCTCGTGTTGCAGGAATGAGGAGGTTTGCTGGAGGTGCACAGCTGTCGTGCAGTGAGGGGTTTGCGTCTTTAATAAACTACGGCAGTTTGCGTTCATTGAACAGTAAGAATGATTAATAAATCCATACGAAACAGTCCCTAAAAGTAACGTCTCGCTTTCAGTTTCCGGCTTTAGCACGTTTTGCACTCACACTACAAGTGTACCGTGCCAAAGCCCAAGTGAACCGCGCTCAGGCCCACGTCTTCCAACCGGGCCAGGGCCGGCCAAGTGAACCGTGCCTAAGCCCGATTCAGCGCACTCACACTTCTCAAAAGATCCAGGAAACAGACCTGGGCACGATTCGGATAGCATAGTGTGAGTCCGCCCTTAGACACAAGCCGGGGCCTGATCAACCCAGACTGGGTCACCTGGTCAAGAGTGATGTTGCGAGACCCGAAACCCCCTCTGATAATGTGTCTAAGGTGCACTTAAGTTTATATTCAAACTGTCTGCCCAAAGAACCAACTTTTAATCAGGAAAAGTGATTCTAAAGTAGCAGAAAAGCTTTGCTGGTATAGATGTAAGAACTGTTTTAAGTGCTATATTTTAAATGCTGAACACATTATTACTTCTAATCTCTGTCTTTTCAAAATCCAGCTTGTCGTGTGAACATGTTTTTTCCCTTGTATTCTTCGTCTATACTATTTACAGTACTCTGTATGAACACATTATCATCGCTCGTAATCTCGGTCTATGCAAACCATGCTGTGTTTCATGAGCACGTCGGATTCCCTCTGTTTGGATGCTCATGTAGGTTCACAAAGTTATTAACATTAATAGCAAGAAATTGTTCATATTATGTTTGTTTTTGGCGGTTTCGCATTTGTGTTGCTGGAAAAGATTGGACCATGGGAACCAAACTCTGTCCTGGAAGCCCAGTTGTCTGTATAGTTTAGCTCCAACATCCCTAAACATACCAGCTTGGAAGTTTGTTGTATGCTTAGAAAGAGCTTGATTTGCCGGTTCAGGTTTGTCTAATTGGGGTTGGAACTAAACTCTGCAGGACATTGGCCTTCCAGGCTAAAGTTTAGGCTTCGAGATTAGACGTATGCAGTGACATCAGACCTGACTCTTTGGTGGCTCTAGCCTGTGGAAAAGCAAAGCAGTTGTTTGAAGACTCACCAGATGAACCAGCTCCAAAATGGCAATACTATTGGCTCCAAATAAGCACCTGGTTTGTGTTACTGTAAAAGGAGTTTGTGAGACCAGAAAAGTCAGGTTTACCAGCACAGCTTCTGGCGTCCATTACATTCTATTTCCTTAAAGTTCACTCCAGCCTGGGTCACATCACTCTGAATAGAATGTGAATCTGCATCTCCAGCATGGGAATGCTAACAATGCTTAGTCACTATTGACTGCTTAGCAGGGCTTTACATTAACACCCGCCAACCTGCCAAATGTGGGTAGATTTCAGCTTTGGCGGGTAAGACAGCCGCTCCCACTAGCCACTTTGGCAGGTTGGAAATAATTTTTACAATGTAGTTTTCTTAAAGCAGGGTTCGACTCGACAATAAGGATGGCCCAATATGCGTGCAAATGTGATCTCAGAATCGAGAAACGGCAAGACTGAAAACAACTGTGTTCGCACGAGACAAAGCAGGTAAATACTGTAGAGGATGATTACTCGCGCGCGCAGGTGATGTGATGCGCATGACTTTGAAGCACGCGCGCTCCCGTTTATTTGCGCTTTTTTCCGTTCACTTGTGTTCGGTTCTCTTTGAAAAAGGCTAGACAAAAAACGATGCTCGTGTACCCACAGTCCTGCTGCTTTTAAGAGCTCAAGATTGAAAAAAAATAAAAAATAAATAAATATATATATATATATATATATATATATATATATATATATATATATATATATATATATATATATATATATATATATATATATATTTGTAAGCAACACCAGCAGTCACTGCTTTCGTTTTAATTATTCTCAGGCATGTGATCATCCTTTCACTATCACTCGTGGTATTTTACCTGCTTCCTTTTGCTTAGTTATTTTTGTTAATATAGTTTAATTATCATCCTTTACAATAACATTTCTTTAATATGAGATTAATCAACCATTTGTGTGTAGTAACTGCTGATCTGGGACAACACAACATCTCAATCAAGTCATTTTAGCATATCAAAGTCACATTTATTTATATAAAATATATTTTCCAAACAACAAAATTGTGGCTAGTGAAAATGGCAAGTGGCTAGTAATGTTGGAAATCTACTAGCCGCAGTGGCTGGTGATCAAAAAAGTTAATGTTAAGCCCTGCTGCTTAGTCAGGGTGATATGCCACAGCCATATCACCCTGCTGCCCAAGACCTGTTCCTCACTGAATCTAAGCAGGACTGAGCCTGGTTAGTAGTACATGAATGGGAGACCACATGGGAAAACTATGTTGCTTTTGGAAGTGGTGTTAGTGAGGCCAGCATGGAGTGCTTAACCTGTGGTCTGAGTCCTGATGATCAGGTATAATGATGGGGACGCTATCCTGCCAGTGAGCGCCATCTTTCGGATGTGACATTAAACTGAGGTCCTGACTCTCTGTGGTCAATCAAAATCCTATGGCACTTCTCGTAAGTGTAGGGGTGTAACCCTGGTGTCTTGGCCAAATTCCCTCCCTCGGCCATTACAATCATGGCCTCTTAATCATCCCCATCCACCAAATTGGCTCAATCACTGTGTCGTCACTCCACCAACAGTTGATGTGTGGTGACTGCACTGGCGCCGTTGTCCTGTGGCTGCCATTGCATCATCCAAGTGGATGCTGCATCCCTTTCATGATTTTAAAGTGCTGTCGGTATCAGGCCATACTTGACAAATACTCCATATAAATACACATTACTTACTTACTAATACACTCTTGGGGCCATGGGAGTAAATTCGACCTGTCCCAGCTCTTCATACCTTGCCTTCATTACATTCATTTAAAAATCAATCTCTTGTGGATCAGGTCACTCTAAAAGCAGGATTCAAACCAGATACTCCACCTTCTAGTTTCAATTGCCCTCTTTCATCTTCAATTCAATCTGGGTCTCACAGCTCTGAGCAGAAGTTGATTCTGCATTTCTAGAATGGGAGGTGTTTGTGCTAACAAAAGTAAAAAGTGCTCAAACTTTACTTTAAAGTCCATTTCAAGAAGAATCTGGCAGCCATCACTTGGCAGCCATCTTCATAATGCTTCTGGGCAAATCATGTAAGACCAGGTACTTAAACTTGCAATTAAATTACAGAATCAAAATCTGCAATAAAGTCTGAGGTGACCTATCCTATTTATTTTCCCGCTTAAGCTCTAATTACATTTAAATCAGATTATATCCAGTTTGCTCCAGCTACTACTCTTGTGCAAAGTTTGGCAAATATTTCACAACTCTAATCTTCTCTAAAAATTGGAGGATGACACTGGAAGGACACAATATGTGATGGGATGTGATGTGATGTCATTTCTCCAGTCAAAAGCAGGGCACAGGCATCAACAAACAGGGATTGCTGTATTAAACAAGTGAATCTGTACACAGCCCCTCCGTCAAATAAAGGTGTGGGTATTGAAATTGATGATTGGCTATTTTGGACTGGAACGTGGGATTTCTTCGCTGTGGTGGCCATCCTGAGCATTGTACTTTTCCCCATTTATAACAATGTCTTAGAAAGTCATAGAAAAGATGGTCTTAGTATCTCTACAGGCTTTTAGCTCTTTCTTGCTGTCTTCTATGAGACTCCAAAGACTAATCATTAATCAGTTTTAGTGTAAATCTGTTAGTTCGTTTCTTACCGGACACCCATTTTGCAGTCCATTATGACAGGGTTTTTGAGACCACTAAGCAGGTCCTCTAGACGAATGTATTTCTCTCCATCCTGGCTGATGTGCCCGAAATAATGAGGCACAAATTGACAGAGCGCATCAGACATGAGGGCCTGCAGACAGATGTCCTCCACCTCACAAAACCTCTTCAGCACCTCCCCGCCCTCACTCAGCCTCACATTACCTAGACAGAGCATGCAAAATGCATTGTATGTCAATGGATGTTGCAAAAACAAATGCTCAAACCAGTTTTACATCTTTAACATGATGTATTTTGATGGAAACAGTCAAGTTCTGATGAGAAGAAAATTTAATGCCTTTGGAAATGCATGATACCTTGGTGTCCAGCTAGCTGGATCCATGAGCTTTGTGTACGCTTGGACCATTGCATCATGGTCAAAAACGTTCTCCAAGATCGACACTGGGAAAAATAAAAAAAAAATTAATACACACACATATCTTAAAATACTTGATTTTTCCCCCAAAAAATTCCACATACCCCTAAAAGTGCCTTGCCAGCCACTACTCTGAAAACCGCTGATGCTGCGTTCACACCAGACGCGGCACACGCGTCAAGCGTGAGTGATTTACATGTTAAGTCAATGCAAACGCGCGAATAGACATCCTGCGGCGCGAATGACGCAAATTGCGCAAATGGCGTGGGGCGAATTGAGCGTTTTGCGAGTTTGACTCGCTTAACGAGCGTTTCGCGCAAATCTCTCAAATTAGAAAATCTGAACTTCAGCGTACATTCGCGCCGCGTTAAACAATCAGAAGCTTGCTCTTGTGGGGGGCGTGATTGTGACGTAGAACCTGTTGTCGGTATTCTGAGTGAAATCCTCCAGCCTTCACCGACAACAGTTCATCAAACTCGGCTTAGCTCAGTCAGAAGCACCGCTGAAAGCCTCCATCATCCAGGTTAAGTTTCTGGAGGAGTTTATGAGCTCACAGAGCTGGATGCACCTCTGAAAGGATGTAGAGGACTCAGATACGACCCTAAACGTATCGACGCTGTTTTTCAGTCTTCATAAAGCACATAAGCACTGTTATTTTCTTCATAAAATCCATGTTAGCTATTTAGGTATGAAGCTAGAGTCTTCGGGCAGACAGAAGCCCTGCCCATCACACGAATCCACGTCTGTTCTGAAGTGAATTTGACACGCGAATGAAGCGGGGTTTGACACGCGAATGAAGCGAGTAAACTCAAATGTTCACGCGGCCTCAAACAGCTTTGCTTTTAAATTTCTAATATTGCATGGAAAGTTTCCTTTCTGCAAAGGATCTTGATGGCGGAAATGAGAAAATTGTTCTTATAAGAACTATACCCTGAACCTTTATTTTGAACCCCCCCCCCCCAACCCCCCCCCCCCCCCCCCCCCCCGATGACCCTTTCTTGAGGAACGATTAAGTGATGAAACTAGAGATTGCTCACTTGTTATCCATTTATGGATATATATTATATAATAAATGATCACATTTGAAGAATTTGTTTTGGGAATATTGCAAATGTGACAGTAGCATGCTACTATATCTCTCTTTAGGTCTACAGTGCTATGCAAATAACTTATTCAAATACACAACGTTATGGGACTCTTTCCAAGTCATGCAAATTGTTTAACACATTTCACTGCACTGGAAAAAAATAGAGAGCTATTCTGTTCATTATCCACATATCAAACTGAACATAACACCAGTTTAACTGGTCCGGATAGATACTGGGAATCCGGATAAACGTTTTGGATAAAGATTTCCTGGAATTCCACTCACTTTTTTCATGGTCTGCCTCCGGGCAACTGTATCCTCACTCTCGCTGAAGACTTCATCGCTCTCTGCTGAAGAGTTGTTGAAGGAGGAGGATGATGAAGCTGAGGAGTGAAAGAGAACCCGAGAGAGAACAGGGTGTGGAACGACTTCTTTCTCGCCATCTTTTTCCATACTTCCCACCATATAATGCTCTCCATCCCGTGAACCAAATGTTTGTGTTTTCCTCTGTTTTGAACTCCAACTCTTCTTCCTCTGTATTCGTTTGCTGCCAAAATCCCCTTCGTTACTTTCATCGATACTCTCGAAACTACCTTTCAGCCTTTCCCGCATCCCTTCCTTTGGCCTCTCCTTTGGTTCAATCTTGCTTCTCCATAAGCTTTTCCTAGTTGCTGCATTGAGCGTGACTTTGGATGCCTTTCCAACAGAAGTTCCGTCTGCCATCACCTTTTCTTGCACTCTCCACTCTTCTGCATCTTCATCTTTGGTCCCTTCTTTGGGTTTCTGTAGGGGTTCCACACATTCCTGAGCTTCTGGTTTCGCTTCCTCATAAGGATTTGTTAGCATTTCTGATGGCTCTTCTAGTTTGGATGATAGTACAGCATGAGCTGAAGCCAGTTTAGGTCTGGCTCTGAAACATGTGTTACTGACGTGATGACTTTGATTGATCGAGGATGGTGGGAAATCGAAAATCTTGTCTTCTGCAGCATCTCTTTGGCTCTCCACTTCACTTCCATTGATCTTCTCTGACAACGTGCTCATTCTTTCTGGAAGAGAATCCAAGTCTTTCATGAAGCTGCTCCTTTGTGAATTCTCAATAGTGACGGACACAACTCCTGTTTTGCTATTCTGAGCTCTAAAGAATCTTGAGTGGATAAACAAAAGTATTATTTGATCAATCATATCTTAGAAATACAAATACGTAAACAGATGACAAAACTAATAGCACAATATTCAGTGTCTTATCAGTAAAGCATTGTTAAAAGTCACATCATGTGTCGGGTTTCCCCACACACTGTCAAAAATACAGCCATCACTGACACTTTCCTATTGAAATCAATAAAAATAAGCTTTATCTGTCCAGGAAATAACCCACATATGCTAAATGGTGCAAAGTTCAAAACAATTACTTGTAGGTTGGAAAAACACCGACTCCCACGTACCTGAGTCTCCAATCTTTCATCCCTTCAGTGTGTTAAGCTGAACCCTACAGCAGTTCAATGCCAGACTCAACGCCAGCTCAAAGTCTTGCTCTCAACGTTTTCCGCCAGTGCTTTGCATAATGTGACATCATGGTTTTCCACAACATTTCTGACAATGAGCTCTTTCGGAGGTTGGGCCTTAGGCTGAACCACATGGTCTTGTGTCGGAATTCAAACACACTTTTGCAAATGCGTCATTTACTGTATGTTTCCATTTGGAAAACACTTTCCATTTGGTTTAATTAGCATGTATGTTTTCTGGTAATCTAACCCATGACCATTCTCCATGTAATTCTCAACATATTCTCTGTAATACATTAGTGGTTGTGTTGGTGCTTATGGAAGGCGGAGGGTGATGTGTGGTTTTGCGTACTTTACAGGGGCTTGTGTAGTGCACATATTGGGATTGGATGGTTCGGTAATCATATGCCACATTTATTATACAGTTGATAAATTATTAGCCCTCCTAAGTTATTAGCCCTACTAATAGATGAATTACCATGTTTGTAAACATTCAGGATGCGTGTGCAGCGAGGTTGCAGAAAAAACCAGGAGCGCTAGCATTTACAGCAAGAAAATGACATCCGCTGCGGTACAGAGTTTGTTGTTGTCTTAGAAATAAGTTATATTGATTACATATTATGTTTATTGTTTGCATAATGCTTTCAGCGTATTATAACAGCTTGTCACCCAGTGATAAGCACAGTGATTCGGCAAAATTAACGTTAAAGTGAGCAGCGTTTATCCGACAGGCCCATTTGCTATAGCACCCTCCCAATTAGTGATGGGAAGTTCGGATCATTTTACTGACTCGGATCTTTGAGTCTCGTTCATCAAGATGAACGAATCTTTTTTCGAGTCATTCCGTTCATTTGGTTCAATTTGATTGCACGACAAATAAGTCATAGACAGAATATAAGAAGGAGAAAATAATAATTCAATGTTTACCCGCTCTTTTGTCTATGTAAGCATTTTTGTCTCTTTGCTCAGGTCATCTGTACAGTCTAAGCCAATAGGAGCCATGATCGTTCGTTCATCACGTGACAGAATGACTCAAACCCATAGACTGTAAAATATAGCTCAAACCCGAGGACTCAAGAGATGAACGGTTCAATTCTTTTTCCGGCTCTAAACGCATATGATTAGCCCGTGAGGAACAAGTGACTCAGACCCGATAGAGGTCTCGAGAGTTGAGCGGATTAATTCTTTTTCCGGCTCTAAACGCATATGATTGGCTCGTGATGAACGAGTGACTCAGACCCGATAGAGGACTTAAGAGTCGAGCGGCTCAATTCTTTTTCCAGCTCTAAACGCATATGATTGGCTTCTGCCAATGTGATGAAGACTTGAAATTAACGATACTACCTGCACAAATGTGCACATGCGCGGATGAACGAAACACTCCCTAAGAGGACTCATAGTTCCCGACAGGGGTGGACTGGCCATCTGGCAATTCTGGCAAATGCCAGAAGGGCCGGACCAATTTTTAAGTGTGGGCCGGTCAGTTTTTTTTTAAAAATATGTATTGTTTTTAAGTGCAGGAAGCTTTTATCTCTTGCTAGATGTGATATTATGATGATGATAATAAAAATAATAATAATAAATGTTAAGCATTTGGCCCAATCGGCAACTGCCGCCTGGTTTCAAGATGGGCCGACCCAATCCAAGATTACCCGGACATAATCAAAATCTGGCAAGAATGTCAAATTATTTCACCCTCTTTACACCAAAATAAATAGTTAATGTGTGTGTCCGTGGGTGGGGCTGTGTCGGTGTGGTAATGTGGGCTTGTGTGGCAACAGTGCCAGGGCTGAATTTTTGTCCCTGGTTCCCGAGTCATATTGAAGATTCGTTCAAAATGAACGAATCGTTCATGAACGACCCATCACTACTCCCAATGGATATTGGATAAGATAATATAGTCAAGCTTCCCGCCCGAAATATACAATCTCATTGAAGCTCCAAGTGTTTTAACAAGAGAGAAGTTAAAGGCCTACAAGTCTTTGAATGCCTACAAATTTGTTCTGTGTGGTCATGTGCAAGAAATAATGTTCCATGATTACCAGATTCAAAACTTTGTAGTGCTGAAAACAGAGGTTCTGCCTAGACAAATACAAGAAAAGGAGACAGAACTGTACAAGGCCTGGGTAATCATCAACAAGCAAAACAACCGCATTCTGACTGTGAACTGCACCTGTACGGCAGGTTATGTGAACTTACACATAGAGGTAAAGTTGCTTTTATATTCGCACATTTGGACTTTCTCCTTCATAATTTAATTTTATAAAAAGTATTATTTGCAAACTCTAAATAGCGAAATCATATTAGCAGCCAATGAATATCAAAGTACAACATTGTTCACAGTCAAATAAACAGTGTGAATGTTGTTTTCAAGTCACACTTGTAGGTTATTTCAGACCGAATATCATAGTGCAGTGGTAAACAATATAGGGAGTGTGTCACAAGTTCTCACTGAATAAATGTGTGAATATAAAACCAACGTTCCCTTAAAACCTTACACTTTCACGTTTCATTTTTAGCATTCAGTGTCCGCAGTTTAATTAACCATTTGTAACTGTTTTTGCTGAAATCATTGCTGCAATCAAAAACGAGCAAAGTGTATGATTCAGCATAGAGTCAACTTACCCGATATGAAATGAGAACTGCAAAGTCGAGCATGTTTAATTAGGTTGTCACTTCATTCAGCTCCCTTTTAGTCAAAGACGTCTGCGGTTGGCATTAAAAGCAGTGTGGTGTACGGTAAAAGTTAAGTTTTTTATTTTTGGACTTTCGAATTGAGCATCCTACTGCACAACACGACATGTTTGCTATTGCAATCGGTCTTTTTTTGCAACTAGGAACCCATGTAACGTCATGTGTGATGTAGATTGGTAATTCGTCCATATATATGTTTTATGAAAAAAAAGAAGAGTTTTTTTTCAACACATTTCTAGTTTTGATAACTCATTTCGAATATCTGATTTCTTTATCTTTGCCGTGATGACAGTACATAATATTATACAAGACATTTTTCAAGATGCTAGTATTCAGCTTAAAGTGCATTTAAAGGCTTAACTAGGTGTGTATGTGTGTGTATATATGTATATATGCTCTTAATATCTGCCTTATGTAACTTAGCGGTCTTATTGCACCCAACCCTGTTTAAGCTGGGATCGAACCGGCTATTTTTTGTATGGGAGTCTGTTGCTTTAACAAGAAGGCTAAAGACCATAACCTCTTGCATCAGTTGCTAGAGCATCTTGGTCAGAGGAGTGAGATTTACCTGCAAAGCACTTCGCTAGCTGGCCTCTGTGACACTCCCCATGCTAAACCTCTTTCCCATCACAGATTAGCCCCCATGTGCAACCCACTGGTCCTATTACCCCCAACGCAGTATGAGCTGGATTGAACTGTCACTTCTTTGCATGGGAGTCAGTTGTTCTAACAAAGAGGCTAAAGACTATGGCCTCTAGCGTCTGTCACCAGAGCACCTTTTGAGGCCAGAGGAGTGAGGTTTACCTGCCTAGCACTTTGCTAGCTGCTCTCTGTTACACTTATATTTTAGTTTTAAATCCCGCCTGGCCCCTGATCAGTATTTCTGATCTAACTGGTATACATCAACCCGGGAGATCTATTCACTCTAAAGATCAACTATATCTGACAGTTCCATGATCACGCTTGAAATGTCAAGATGATAGAGCTTTTACCGTAGCAGCTCCAAGACTCGGAACCATCTTCCACTAATCTTAAGTATCTCCTTCTTTGGAGACATTTCAGAGGTCATTAAAAACACACTTATTTTCTTTAGCTTTTTATCATGTGTTGTAAGTTTATGTATTTAGGCTGTTTGTATATATTCTGTTTTATATACAACTCTGTGGTAGCCATTGTGGTTGTTTAAAAGTGCTTTAGTAATACAGTTCCAACTAAGGCTCATTCTGATTATGTACCACTATATACATTTCTGGAGAGTACCATATATCCCAGGAGCTACGTTTTTTGCTGTTATAGTTTTCGCGAATCTCCCAGAGGCCGCTGAGAGATTTTTTGAGATCTCAAATATCTCTCGTGAGAGTGCCATTTGCACCTGCTCTACTCATGTAAATCCACTAGAGGCCGCTATTGATTGACTGACCCACCCCCTTCCCAACCGATAGTGTTAAAAAATGCGTTAATTGACGAGTACCCCCCCACTTCCTTAAACCCAACCGACAGTGTTTTAAACGCAATCCAAAAATCCAGCTTTTTATCACATTTTCAGATTTTATCACATTTTCACTCTGTTACTTACTTGTTTGTTTTATTTTTTGGCTTTCGTTTTTGTCTTACCTGCTTTCTGTATTCGTTCTTCACCGAAGAACTCAAACCCCGTCATTGCGGTGAACTTTGCTCTGCGTCTCAAATCCTCCATCGTACAAGACGAGCCATTGGACAAACTGTTAACAGCAGAAAAGCCATCTACACAGAGGTAAGCAGTCAGCTAGTAAGCACCTAAAAGAACGGCATCATACCACCCCGTAGTGTCCGTTTTAAAGACTAAATGCAGCCATACATACTTCTGGCTACATAATTCGCCATCTCTAGAAATGTAAATATGGCTACGTTTTCAGAATGAGCCTACGTTACATAGTTCAGTTGAGTAAAATGTTCTTGAATTACGTTTTTACTTGGTAATTTTTTCTTACCCATACGTGTAAGAAGTGTCTTGATAAGTGAGGTTTGACAAACGAATTTCGAGAGGAGCACGTGATATGATTGACTGCAGCTGGTCTCTCATCTACAATCATTATTTAGCCAATCAGATTAATCCATACTCACTATAAGTAGCCTAGCAAAAAATCACTCCCATCTCTTCATTTCCCGAAGAAACCCTCCATCCACCCCTTCTTCCCCTTTCCTCCTTTACCACGGAAGCTCTCGAGAACCACCTGATCTTGTTCTCCCCTTATGCCGAGTTCAGACTGCATGATTTTCAAAGTAGTCTTGTCACAGATGTTTTCACACTGCATGACTATCTGAGCTTGCGTTTCATCGCTGCTTTGTTTACACTGCAAGATGTATCGGCGACAGGGGCTTTCACATTGCATGACTTTACCATAGGAAGAATCGCCGACAACTTCGTCCAAACTACATCTCACAGCCAAAAACACGTAGTATATATTTTGTTTTTCACTAAATAATGAGAAAGAAGCCTTTAATGGGGTAAAAAAATTTACATATTTGCTCACCTGTGTTTAAAGGGAATTAGTCATTTCTCCTCAACGTTGATAATAAACTAATTTCTTTCTGTATGAAACGTCAAACAGACACGGTTGCTCCTTAGTCCTGTCAAACCTCCACTAGTTTTTCCTCCATTTCGTGGGTCCAAATAACCCGAAAAAGAGCGCTTTTAACTTCTCCCCCAGCCTCCTGCTGGCCTGCAGCATGTATACACACACACGCACACACACAAGTGAATGCTGCTCTCTTATTGGCTGTAGGCGATCGCTGATGTTATTGTCAGTCAAAACTCAATTCACACGGCGTGATTTGA